GTACATGTAGCCTACATTTGGCCTGCGCTCAGTGTACACTGGGCATACATGGGGTTTTTTGAGCGGTTTTTTTTTGTAATGTAACGTTTTGCTAGAGTGCTTGCTGTGGGTTTTGCCCTGTGAATTGCAGACGCCGCGCTCGCTCCTCAAGACAGCTAGAGCAACAGTACTGGGCAGACACTCAGCAGTATATCATGGAAGGGCGCAGCATGTCGTGTGCGACCGTGGTGGAGGGAGAGAAGAAGGAGAACAAGCCCGCGGCCGAGGGCGAGAAGAAGGACGACAATGTGGCTGAGGGCGACAAGAAGATCGACAAACCCAGGCCCACGCCGGAAGCGACGGCGGCGGCCGCGGCCGCAGGGCGAGCCTGGGCAGCCAAGAGGGCGCGGCTGAGTCGCTAGTGGTCGTTGGAGGAGTTGTGCGGCCGGGTTTTTTTTAAAAAAAAAGGTCGGAGCCAGTCTGAGTGTGAGCGTCAAGTCAACCTTTTTTTTTCGCCGTTGAGCTGAGTATGCTTTGATCCTGTTGTGCTGCAGCATTTAGCTTGTTCATTTTGTGGGGGAGCGGCGAGGGCTTCCCATTTGAAGTGGAAGGTGCGCCCCGGCGTACTCTGACTTACCAAACCCCTACTCGCACCCGCCACCCTCTGTCAGGTACTCGGCCGTCCACATCAATTCGACTGCTCGGCCCTCAGTTCGTAGCTTTTGTTGCCTTGGCCACCGCCCCCTGCTGTGTGCAGGAGATGATGAGGAAATTCATCGACAGGACAGGCGCCTTCGGGTCTCTGGACAGATTTGTGAAGAAGGCCTGGGTCAAGGGGTGATAGCTGCTACTGAGTGCACTGTGTGGCTTGTTGTTCATAGGAGCCAACGGACAGTGAAGGCGGAGATCACCGCGAGGCAAGTCTTTGGTTTTTGTTAGTTTGCAGTCGCGGCGTTTGTCTGATTGAGGCTTCAGCAGCTGCGAGCTCAGGGGCTCGCCAAGAGGAGGAGCGACAGGCGGTGGGCGTGTTAGCGGGGGGGTGGCTCAGCACCTGTCATCCGTCGCAGGCGGACGACATCGAGATCGCGGGCTACTGGTTCCGCGATGGCGAGGAGCCCGGGATGTGCACCTTGGTTCCTGGGCAAGACTTGGAGGAGGCGCTACGCAATGTGATCGAAGTGGGGCGCACGGCGCGCATTGGGCTGCCTGGAGGGTCGAGTGTAGTGACCTTCGTCGAGGGCGACACTGTGTTCTGGGGCGAACCCATCGACGGTCGCACAAGCGGCCCGATCTCGGAGATCACGACTCTGCACGTCGGCCCGGAGGCCGGTCCGGTTTTAGTGTGCCTCCCTTTCTAGCGCTGGCCTTCCATTCAGGCGGAGACGGCAAGGGGCCCTGGCCAGCCTGACGAGGAGGTTCCAGAGGCAGGGAGACGTCTTTGGGTTTTTTTTTGTTTACTGGTGTGCGGCCCGGCGCTCAGGGTCCAATTGAGGAGCAGGGCCCTGACCAGGCTGACGAGGAGGTTCCAGAGGCAGGGGCGTCTTCTTTGGAGTCTCTTTTGCTGGTGCGCGGCCCGGCGCTCAGGGTCCAGTTGAAGAGGAAGGTCTTGCGCAGGAGACCGCGGAGCAGGTGGGGTGCTTGGAATGGAAGCATGGGGGTTTATTCCCCCTTTGCCATGACAATTTGAAGGAAGATGACCTTATGGAGATTACGAATGAAGGAGAAGCCGCGGAGGAGGCCGGATGTGCGAGATCACGTTTTCCCCCGCCTGATACCCGTTTTGTCAGGCTGATCCCATGGAGAAGGCGGCCACGCAGTGGGAGGAGGTGATGGCAGCAGCAGACGGAGGAGATGAAGCGGCGGGCGTCCTGCGGGCGTTCGTGTTGCAGAAGCATGGTGCAAGGGCTCCGGCGGCGCTGTGGACGATGCTGAAGGTCTTCGGGCGGCACGGCTGGCGCGACTTGCCGATTGGAGGACTGGGGTCGCTCACGAGGGAGATCCCAGCGGAAGTCTTCTTCAACGAGGAGCCTCCGGAGGACTCCCCACATGGATGAGGAGGCGGAGATGCACCACACCGCCAACGGCCCCCAGGTCCTCTTCGACCGCGTCAACCCCGAGGCCGTGAAGGAGATCGGCAGGCGGGTGCTGAGCAAGGTCTTCAGGACTGCAGACGGATGTGGGCCCACGCTGCTGAGGATCGCAGGGGACATCCTGAAGCAATGTGGCAGAGGCATGTTGTCAGGAGCGCGCTGCTTCCTCACGACCTACCGGGAGGAGAGCAAGATGATGGAGATCGGCATGAAGGGGAGGCGGTACAGCGGATTCTGCCCTGTCGTCAAGAAGAAGAAGAAGGACGAAGAGGAGGAGGACCACTCCCCGCAGCCCGACGGTGGGCTTGTGTCTGCGCATGTGCGGACGAGCGTCTTCGCCCAGCCCTGTTGGTTGAGAGACGTCTTCAGAGCGGGACTCCCCAACCACTTCGTCTTCGACTTGGTGAACGCGCACCTGGCCATCTCCGCGAAGAGGTGGGGCGCCGATGAAAGGGTCAGCTCTGAGGGAGTATATCGACCGCCGGGACACCGTGCTCTCGGAGACCCACGTGGAGCGGTGGATCGCGAAGCAGCTCTACCTGCCCCTGCTCTACGGTGGCTCTGTCAAGGCCTGGAAAATGGAGCACAAGATCACGGCTTTTGCGCGGGAGGGGTTCGCTCACAGGTTTGCGAAGGAGATGTCGGAGGGCCGAAAGAAGGACTGTGGCGCTCGCAAGGGAGAGCTGGGCAAACTCCGGCAGATGACAGCAAGGCCCGTGGAGTTCCTCCAGTACGCCCTCAACACGGCGACCGAGAGGGAGCTCGTTGACCTCGTCGTCAACAAGGTCGAGGAGGACCCTGAGGCGGCGGTCTGCGCCTTCGAGCACGACGGCCTCTTCCTCTACTACCCGGCAGGCCAGAAGAAGCTCTTCGCGGACATCAAGAGTGCGCTGGGTGACGTCAGCTTCACGGTCAAGCCCACGCTGTCCGTCAAGGATGCGCTCGCGACAGCCGAGGCGGAGATCCTGAAGCAGGCGCCGGAGCTGGGTCACTTGTGGAACCAAGTGGACGATGCGTGGCTTGATCACCACAACGTCATCATGCAGGCGTACGAGGGGAGCCTGACGTACCACGGCCTGTACGCAGAGGTCGCGTTGAGGTCGCCAGCGGTCTCTCCGGACGTGCCGTATCCTCTGACGGCAATATTCAAGATGATTGTTGACACTGGACATAAATGTTGGTTTAGCTGCAGTCGCAGTGCGTGGTTTTTGACCGGGGACAGCACCATCGACGCGCTCAAGCTCGCAGCCTCGAAAATTTGTGTACGGGATCTCTCCGACTACATCTGCTCCTGGTCGACGTCAGAGGATGCCATCGCCACCGCCAACATCCGCTGGGAATACACAGGAGAGAGCTTCAAAAGTGGCCTGGCGGCCAGCCTCAAACCTGCCCTTGGGGTGGCGCAGAGCGAGTTCGATCTGGATGGTGAGGATACCAGGAAGTACCTTAACTTCAACGGCAAGGTCTTCAATGCGGAGACTCTGCAGTGGTCGCCCATGCGCCCGGAGATGAAGATCACGCGCAACACCGGCTGGGATCACAAGTGGCCGGTCTGGTGGGGCGACTACGGAGCCGAGCTTCTGGGAGTGCTCAAGGAGGTGCGGCGCCAGCAGGACTCCTTCAAGGACAATGAGAGGGAGTACACCCTGAGTGCGGCTGTGCAGAAGCGCCTGGACGAGCTGTGCGGCAAGATCCCCGCTCTGGATGTGGTGCACACCTGGACCCGCGACGATTGGGAGTCCACGATCTTTGAGTTGTCGCTGTTCGCCAAGGGCACCTTCGGCCTGACGCAAGCCTGCGGCTTGTGGACCCGTGGAGTGGGGCGCAACGGGAAAGACACGGCGGCGAACATGATGGACTCAGTGCTGGGTGGCTACAGTGTGTCGCTGCTGGCGAGCACCCTCAGCAAGATCAGGGACCCGAATGCCCCGTCGCCGGCCTACGCATTGCTGCGGGCACGCCGCTTCGTGGCGGTGAGGGAAATAGACAAGTGTGATCCGATCCGTCAGCAGATCTACAAGACGGTGACAGATCCCAACAGCGTCTTGTCTGGCCGCGATGTTTATGAAAAACAAGTCTCGTTCAAGCCGCAGTTCTTGATGTTCTTTGCGAGCAACGAGCCGCCGGCACTCGTCAATGACCTCGCGAACAGAGAAAGAACCTGCATAATAGAGCATGTGAGCATTTTCTCTGACGAGCCGGTTGAAGAGAACCAGGTGAAATGGAAGGATGTAGAAAAGACGATGCTGAGGACTGACGAGGGCCGCGCCGAGTTCTTCGCGATCCTGTACGCCGTCTACAAGGAGCTGCTGCATGACAATCCGCGGCGGAGCATCGGTCCGATGCCGCAGAAGTGCAGGGCCTTCCTGGAGGAGGAGCTTGACGACAAGGTCATGGCGGCGACCAAGGACTTCATCCGGACGAGGCTGGAGAGGGCACCGCGGGGCAAGGCGACGCCCGAGTCTGCGGTCCACGACGCCCTGGCGAAGCACATCGAGGAGAAGGCCCCGCCGGAGGACCACAAGCCGCGGACCGTGCGCTGCGGCGATCTCTTGAAGCAGCTGGGCGTGGTGAGAAGCGACAAGCGTGGAAAGGCCGCGACGCTCGGGGGAAGGAAGAACGTGTACCACCTGCACTACAAGTTCGAGGGCACGGACGGATCCAAGGACGACAAGCCCACGCCGGTGCGCCTGATCGGCTATGAGCCAGAGGACAAGTAGCCCGGTAGGTCCGCCCTCCTTGCACAGGTTCTTTGTTATGTTAAGTCTACTTAGAGTCAAAATATTATATATATTTAATGCCTAGGGGACCACCCCGCGAATTTAGGGTCGCTTTTATCTGGAGGTTTAGTACTCTTTCAACACACATATAAGTTCTCATATGTAGTAGTTCAAACACACATAGCAAGACCCTAAATTCGCGGAAAGGGGCGTGAGGGGGCAAGGAGGGTAACCGGGGGGCCAGGGCCCGGTAGACAGCACAGCAGCCGCGGCCCGCAGTGGTCAAATCAGCATCATCGATCCGAGGGGTGGCACATGTCGGTTTTGAGTGTGTGCGCGCAATTTGTGATGCTTGAATGCATGACATGCATGAGCCGCTCAGCTTTTTTGACTCTCGTCACTCGGCGGGGGGTTAGGGGGCAACCGCGGGCTTCAAAACAGAAGGCCCGGACCTTCCTGCACCCCCTTTGCTTTTTTGCACGCAACCCTCCTTGTACCCAGGTCGCTTCAACGTCTTCTTCTGTCAGGCTCGTGGGGGGGGTTCAAGCCGGTCGTTGTGTGTGCGCCCTCGGATTCAGGATCCCCGTGCGATCTCTTCATCTTCCAGGCTCGTGGCGTACGCAGACACCTCGCAGTTGCGCCGTCTTCTAACATCCCGGACTCAGGTCAGTCCGACCTCTGCCAGGCGCGCACAGTCTGTGATCCTACCCTAAGCCCCGACCCTCCACGCCCCCCGCTCTAGAACCCTAGTCCCTACTAAGCTGCCTTGCGAGTGCTCTGTGTGTGCCTGCGTCTCCACCAAGTGCAAGCCGTAGGGTTTTTTTTTCTAGCTAGGGACCGGGACCCTGCTGAGACAAAGAGACA